CCCCCCTCCTACACGCACACCTACCCCGACTTCCACCGTTTGGCCCCGAGCTTGCCCAGCGGGAGCCTGAGACCCACTTTCCGGCTCCTGCAGTTCCCACCTCAGTCCCCTAGTGCGCAGTCGCCTTCTCTTGAACCCCCCGCGCCGAAGGAAAGGCGGTCTCCATCCCAATCCCATCTGGTTTTTGCTGGCGGAGCCTAGATCCTAGCGAAACCTGGGCGGCGAATACCCTCCAACACCCGCGGCGGCGTCTTGCCGGTTTAGAGGGAATCCAGGCGCTCCCGCTACTCCGTCCCCAACTCGCGGCATCTTGCTGTCTTCCCTCCTTAGTTTCTGTCCCTATGGAGAGCTAAGGAGCTCTGGTGGCCGAGGAGGCTACACGCATTTAAAATCTTGGAAACCCTAGGAAGCCGTTCTACTTGCCTTTTAGGGTCACTAATGAGTCAGAATCAATTGCACATTGCAGTGAGTTTTGGGGTTCAGGGTATCAAGGCCTAATTGCTGCAAATCCTTAACCTCCAATAACCTTTTTTACCTTCCCGCTGACTTTTTGCCTAAGAACAATCCTTTGCTCTCCTATTCAGACCATCCTCCTTCCTATTCAGTAGTCTGGCGCCATCCCAGGATCCTCCTTAATACTGTTCCTGACATGAGAGCCTCCATTTCTGCTTTAGTTCTTTTGAGGGATGAATGTGGCATATTTGGGTATTCTCTGGATTCTTTTTAATGAGAACACTCAACATCTTTCTCTTTTAAAAGCTTTAAACAGTCAGGGGCTAAAGTGGAAAGCAGATTTTTGAAAATGATGATGGCAGCAAATGTACAAATGTGCTTGGCACAATGGATGGATGGATGGATGGATTGTGATAAGCGTTGCACGAGCCCCCAATAAAATGATTTTTAAAAATAATGGGGGGAAAAAGCTTTAAACAGCTTTTTCAAGCTTGCAAACTTCTCAGATATCTTTCCGTTGATACTGGGTTAATTAATTTAGCTCTTAGACGCTAATGCAATGTCATTGGATCCATTCCGATTCTTCTTTTTTTTTAATTCATTTTATTAGGTGCTCTTACAGATATTATAACAATCCATAAATCCATTATATCTAGTGAACTTGTACATATACTGCTACCGTATCATCATTTTCAAAACAATATCCTTCTTCTTGAGCCCTTTGATATCAGCTCCTCTTTAATCCCTCCCTCCCCCACCTAATTCTGAATCTTACAGACCCTTCTCAAAAGGCCTGAAGGGGCTCCGAAATGCTTTCAAGGAAGAGGTTAAAGTTATTTTCATAAGGCAGTCAAGACTCTAGCTTATTATGTGTGAACATTGGTCTCACTTGGGTGGCTTCTACTTAGAACATGTTTTGCACTTCTGAGCTCCTCTCAGCAAGCCTTGAGGGAGGACCTCTGATCACTATTTTACAGATGAGGTCACTAAAGCACGGAGAGATTAAGTATTGTAACTGGTTGTTAGAGATTTTGCTGTGTCACCCAAAAAGATAAATTGAAGTTTTAACCCCTAGATCCTGTGATTGTGCCCTTCTTCAGAAATAGGGGCTTTTGAGATGTTTTTAACGTAGCATGGTCATTGACTGAGCCCAATCCAATATGACTGGTATCCTTATAAAAAGAGCAGAGGTACAGAGGCAAGACTATCATGTTGCCATGTGAGATGAAAGCAGAAATTGGAATTACATTGCCATAAACGAAGGAATAAAAAAAAAGCTGGTATAATAGGTGTGGGTTTTTTATTTGAATAAAATGCATCAATATTGGTTTATTGATTGTGATAAATGTACTACACTAATATAAAATGGGAAAAAACTATGTATGGAAATTCTGCGTACTATCTTTCCAGTAAGGAAGGAAACCTGGTGGTGAAATGTCTAAGTGGCCAGCTGTTGAAGGAAAGGAAGGTGGTAAGAACTCAATAGAGACCCCATGGGAGAAGATACTCAGCCATCTGCTTCTGCGAAGACCATTCTGTAGAAAGCCTCTGGGGGCATTTCTGTAGTGTCCTGTAGGCCCTCTGTGAGCTGAAAATGACATGATAGCACACACAACAGCTTCACTTTTTCCTGTAAATCTAAGACTTAATAGAGGTTTTTGTTTTGTTTTGTTTCTTAATCATTTTATTGGGGGCTTTTATAGCTCTATAGCATTCCATACATCAATTATATCAAGCATATTTGTACATATGTTGCCATCATCATTTTCTAAGCATTTATTTTCTATTTGAGCCCTTAGAATAGTTAGGTTTTTGTGTCAAGTTGGCTGAGCCAGGATTCTCTAGTTTAGCAGTAGGGTCACACCCTAATCATGTCTCCTTGGGAGTGTGGCCTACTTGGTAATTAAAAAAAAAAAAAAAGAACTGTGGAGAACTTTCTTATTATTGTTCTTACATCCTGTGTCTGCTTCATGGGACCTGGGCCTGTGACCTGCCATGTGGCTTGCCAACCATGGGAGCTTTCAATGACCTGTCATGTTGCCTGCTGATAATGGATCCACTTGACTGGGCTTTCACCAGCCTGCTTCCTCATTTGACCTCCTGCTTCCTGGTTTGTCTGCTGACAACTACATGAGTCAGGAAGGGCTTCCAGCTTCACTCAATATTTGAGCCACAGACTTGAATCAGACTGGGCTTGCACATCTGCAGCTGTGTGAGCTGCTTGCTTAATATAAATTTCTTTCTTGATATATCTTTCTAATAGACACAGGTCACTCTCTCTAGAAAACCCAGCTGGACACACTTGGGTATACCAAAAGTGAAAGAATCTTCCCATAGAGTCCTATATGTGGACTTGTCACCTCCAGAAGTAATAGAAAATACATTTTGTCTTATGCCACCGAGTTTGTGGTAATTTGTTATGGCAGCCCTAGGAATCTATTGCATGGCTTATAACACATCCCTTTACAATGTGGCTTTTAATTATAGAGATAGAGATATAGATGTTTGAGAGAAGGTTTTTCTATATATGCATTTGCCTGTGCTGCAAATATATTCATGAATATAGTAGAACTTACAGGGGAAAAGTTATGAAAAGTTTGTAGCCATCACCAAACAGTGGAAAGAGCCACTGTGCTTAGGTTGTCAGGACCATAGTCTCAGGAGAATCAAGGTCAACTAGCATAACAATCAACAAAGACAATGTTCTAAACCCTACTTTGGTGAGTACTGTTAGGGGTTTACAAACTCACATTGTTGTCTTTAGATGCTGTTGAATCAGTTCTGACTCTCAGCGACTCTGTGTTCGACAGAATGAAGCACCACCAAGTTGCACACCATTCGCATAATTATTATGTTTGAGCCCACTGCATTGATCCATCTGGTTGAGACCCTTCCACTTTTTCACTACCCCCAAGCATGATATCCTTTTCTAGAGGCTGGTCTCTCCTGAAAACATGTGCAAATACATGAGATGAAGTCTCATGGTTCCCTACCTCTAAGGAGCATTCTGGTAGATTTATTTGTTCTTTTGGCAGTCCCTAGTACTTACCATAGTATTCACAGTACCACATTTCAAATGCATTGATTCTTCTTTGGCCTTCCTTATTCAATATACAACCCAGACACACCTTTCTTGATTTTAAAACGGGCTTTATTACCTTGTTTATACAACTGCCTTTTGATCCATGTGCAGGTATTGAGTGTTCTGGAATTCTCATTCTTCTCAAAACTATCCATAATTCTTAAAGGTCCACACGACCTGAAAACTCCAAAGGTAAGGTGACCAGACGTCCCGCTTTTGGCGAGACAGTCCCGATTTTTAACAATTTGTCCCGCGTCCCGTGGTGTTTTAAAAAAGTCCCGATGCACGACAAGCTAGGGAATGGCGGGAGAACGGGAAGGGAATATACGGTTTTCTGCTGCCATGTGGCTATTCCGCAAGGATATTAGTTTTATATTATTTTTGTTAATTTTATAATGTTAAACTTTAATAATAACAAATAATTGTTGAGAACTGATTATCGAGAACTGCTTATCAAAGTTTGCATTGTTGATCAGTTGTTAGAATTCGACCACCATTGTTTGGACTTAATGAACAATGGCATTTTTGGGTATTGGCAACAACGAAAACATTTTGTAACTGTCTCTTAGACGATACACATCGTACTGTGTGCTAGTGCTAGTTAAACAAGTGATGTCAACAAATCAGCTATTCAGATAATTTAGGAAATTTATTTCTTTATTTCATAAATACATAAATTTTCTTGAATTTAGCTGACAGTACTCGCATTATTTATATTTTATAGTGGCGGCAAAAACTCTAGTGCCGGCCTTGAAAAGTGACACTTACAACTTACATTACGGCAAATTCAAAGAAAAAATAATACAAGTTAGTATTGTTATTATTTAGAAAGAAATATAGGATTAAAATTTAAATAATTTTAAAAATATAGTTCCTTTATAACAATCAAACTAATTTATAAACTAACAATAAAATATGTTCATGTAATTATGTACCTACTTACTGTGTTTTTAAGCAA